TGGTGGGACAACTCATGGTTTGTCTTCACTAAATGTCCGAATTTAGGGCTTAAGGGTCTAATATGCCTACCTCTATTTTTTAAAAGTATGTCAAAAATTCCCTACGGCAATACTTTTTTACCCACTAAGTACAAATGGGAGGTAATGGTCTAAGGTCCAATGAGCCAAAAGGCCCAGGTGGGAAAACTCATGGTTTTTCTTCACCAAAGGTCCGAACTTAGGTCTTAAGGGTCTAATATGCCTACCCCTAATTTTTAAAAGTCTGTCAAAAATTCCCTACGGCAATACTTTTTTACCCACTAGGTGCAAATGATAGGTAAGGGTCTAAGGTACAATGGGCCAAAAGGCCCAGGTGGGACAACTCATGGTTTGTCTTCACCAAATGTCCGAACTTAGGTCTTAAGGGTCTAACATGCCTACCCCTAATTTTTAAAAGTCTGTCAAAAATTCCCTTCGGCAATACTTTTTTACCCACTAGGTGCAAATGATTTTTTTTTATTTGTATTTCAGTAGTCAGGCTTTTACAATCCCTGTATATCACCACCTGACTATGGTGTTAAGGGGTTTGATATAGGAAACAAAAAATTTAATAATTGACTACATTTTATTTTCTGTGAATATATATTATATGAATATCAACATTATAATAAAAAGGGGAAAAGAAAATAATCACACACATAATACACCCACTCTTGCACTTGCTTTAACATAACATATATCAACTTGTATATTGCAAAGAAAAATGTTATCTTTGTAAAGATCTGCTCTTTATAAACTGTAAGTTTCATTTTTTACTTTATATGATTTGAATCAAAAGTAATTGTTACTAATCAGTAAAAATGTAATCTACTGGGGCCCAGAAGTTTTGAAAAAAGGTGTGGTACCATTTTTCTAGGTGCAAATGATAGGTAATGGTCTAAGGTCCAATGGGCCAAAAGGCCCAGGTGGGACAACTCATGGTTTGTCTTCACCATAGGTCCAAATTTAGCTTTTGTTTTCAAATAGCTACTTAATCATTTCCCTGCACACCGTACAGTAAGTACAACAAATAAACCTTTCGTCTAATCAAATGTAAGCGAATTCCACTTGTTCAGAAGTAGAATCTTTCATCAAAATAAATTTGTCTGACAAAAAAAATATTAAAGCACGAGTGCAACTTTCTATTCGTGTAATGCAAACAATTGATACTTTTCAGGAACTATTTGACTGGATGCCGAGAATATGGAAAGCTATGTCGTACAATATCACAAAATTAATTTCTAATGAAAAAGTTGATACCATGTTACAACAATTTTGCCAGCATTCAAATAATTTACGATTCTACATACACCATTAAAAATTTAAAGCGTGCAGTACGCTCTTTGGTATATGGAAAGCGATTACTATTGTCTTTAAATTATTGAACAGGAAATTATATTTTGAAATTCGTTGAATAGTGTCATGGACTGCTCAATCATATATTTAAAAACAGATTATTTTGTGGTTATATATTAATAAAAACATTTTAAGTACGTTTGAATCTTATGCAACTTTTGGGTTTTTAGACATATCTGAAAACTGGCTGCTAGCTAAGTGGCTGCTAGCGAGTGGCTGCTAGCTTGAGTCTGGTAACCATTTGCCATAGAGGTGAAATGCTGGCCATTGTTATCAAAGCAAACGTAGCAGATCCTTTCTGTATAACTCTAAGACATACAATCTGTTAGAAATTTTTGATATTTCATAACTTTCTGTTGGTGTTACATAGTTTTAATTTCGATAAAGATTCAGCGGCTCTTTTCACAATAAATCTTACGAGTAATTTTCTTACGAGTAAAATTACTCGTAAGTCATGAACATTTTATTTTAATCGTAAGATTTTTTGTGAAAAGAGCCGCTGAATCATATGAAGTTCTACCGATTGTAAAATTTCCTACGATTCCGATTGTGTTCAACCTTAACTCGCAAATCGCAAATGAGGGCGGGATCAGACATAAACTATAATAACATATGAATTAAATATTCCTATTTTGAATTTTCGGTTATTTTTATGTAGAAAGAAACTACCATGCAGTACTAGCTTGTTTATGGAATTGTAATTCTTTCAGATTCAATATATTCAAGAGCTTAATTACTATCTCCAGAATTCTCTGAGTAAGGGTTGATACTTACAATAAAGTAACTCTACTCTAAAGGTAAAGTGATGATTATTTCATTTAACATTTCCAAAGAAACTTACCTTAATGCAAAATCGTTCTACTAAAACAATATGTAAATACACAAAACAAATAAAATACTTACGGGAATCATTTTGTTTGTTATAGGCAAAAGTGTTGTTGTTTTACACGAGTCCTATGCTGAGATAATCGAAATTGAGATTACAAATCATAGGACGACACTATTCTGCTTCTTCTAAAAAGATGAGAGCGTTTTAACGACTGAAGTGAAGCTGCAACTGGACATAAGGTTATCAATCCTTATCGGCTTCCTAAATTGCACAAGAAATCTTAGAAATCTCGTTTTTATCTGCATCCACTAAATGTTCCACTACAAATAGTTTTCTTCTTCTGTCTAGTGCTCTTACAACCGTTGAGGAACCTGTTATTATAATTGTTACAAAGCCTATGAAAATAGCTCTCAAGTGAATCTCCAAAAAAAATACCGTGATAGTCTTTCTATTGCCAAATAAATATACATATTGTATTTGATACCTTATTTGTATATAAAATAGTGTTTATCAAGCCAAAAAAGATTAGGAATTTTTATTTGAATATATAGATATAGGAAGATGTGGTTTGAGTGCCAATGAGACAACTCTCCATCCAAGTAACAATTTATAAAAGTAAACCATTATAGGTCAAGGTACGACCTTCAACACGGAGCATTGACTCACACCGAACAGCAAGCTATAAAGGGCACCAAAAAATTACTAGTGTAAAACCATTCAAACGGGAGGACCAACGGTCTAATCTATATAAAAACGAGAAACGAGAAATATGTCGTTTTAGCTCGAAAGACTTATCGCAAAAGGTTGTTGGTTTTAATTATTACTTCTGATGTTTTGCTTTCTTTTAGTTTTTTTTTTTTTTATTTTTTTATTTTTGACTGTTGTCTGTTTTATTAATTTTCTTTTTATGTTTTTTGGTTTGTATTGGTTTTTGTTGGTTTTGGAGGAGGCGGAGGAGGAGGAGGAGGATGACGACAGTAGAAGATTTATAGTTAAAAGAAACCGTAATGATTCGTCACTGGGGATCGGGTGGAGGGTTTCTAAATCGAAATTCTTATCATTGCGAATCTTCTTGTACTTGACGTTGCTGTATAAAATCTACCCATGATTTTATCAAAAGTTTAAGTGTTTTGAGCTGGCTTTAAGTATCAGCGAACATTATTTTTTATATTGTTTTTTTTATATATAATATGTTCTTTCGCCGGTATCTATTGTTATTCCATTGAAATTAAGAGGGGTTTATGAGGTCTCCGAATACAACACTAACCTGCATCATGTTCATGGGGGCTTTTACAATTTTCTATAAGAAATAAAGTTATATAATCATATAGCAATATGAAAGTATATAAATTATTGCATGCAAAACATTTGAAAACAGAAAAGAAGAATATAGGGTAGACTGTCAACACAGAGATATGTCGTGTCTGTCACGGTAACTTGATCTAGGACTGAACATTGTTGACGCCTATACCGGGAAACAGCACGATTACCAAGTATCGTTCTATACTTATCATTCATGTCATTATAGATACTAAACTTTCCTTTAATGTATAAACTAGAGTATATACTATCGGTACGATCGTCGACTAGACACAAAAGACGAAATAACATATTTTTACTTTCAAAACGCTACATCGCAAAATATTCTGCTCTTTTAAATCGACGAAATTAGTTTTGTTATAACCGATATTGGTTTTAGTCTTGGTAATATGTTTAACAGATTCGTTTAACCAAATTGGATTGTCTCCCGTTAACCAGAATAACAATAATGCTTTACATTGTTCGAGATAAGTCATATATATAAAGTATAAGATAAAATAAGATAGATAACATTATAAGACCCATTATGGGAAAAATCAGTACAATTCTTAGCAATTAAATAATGTACAATAATGATATATAAAAAAAAATATGAGTTATGAATATAACCCTCAACAATTATGTTCTTGTTCTAAAGAGACAGAATATACCAAAAGGATATACAAACTCATAAGTCGAAAAAGATCTGACGATGTCATGGTAAATAACGAAAAACGACAAATAGAAAAACAAAATGTCTAAAAACATACGATAAAAAACTAAAGGCTGAGCAACACGAATCCCACCAAAAACCGATCTGATCCCAGGAAAACAGGAAGAGTAAACAGATCCAGCTCCACATATGGCTCTCGTCGTGTTGCTGATGTAAGTACAAACCCGGTGATACGTTCATAAAACATGTTAGTGAAGCAGTACTATATATGAATGATATAATTCAAATATTTCCGAAAATTTAAATTACGTTATCTTTAAATAATTCCGTTGATTTATGGTCAAGACTTAAAATAAACAGCAGTTTTATTAAGTTAGATGATTTATGAGAAGTCATTAGTTTATCCTTTCCGAATCCATTACTTCTTACCAATTCTCTGCTACAGATTTCAGTATGCATGACACGTGTTTCTCGAATATTAACATTGAATAACCTTGATTGGTACACTGGAGACCTGACCAAAAAGGGATAATAGGAATCATTCACGAAAAGTATTGGAGAGAACAAAAGACCACACCAACCACCACAAACAACAGACTCATCCGAAAAATATATCATGCTACAGATACTAAATGAGGCGGGATTACACCTCGGAAGTTCACAACAAGTTTCAAGAAATTCAAATATTTTTGTATTTCAACCATGTTACAAATTTTCTGTTGTTAACAGAGAATTGTTGATAATTTGTTATAATTTACGAAATTTATTTAAATGTGTACCTCACTTATGTGCATAAAAAGAGAGGTATACGAAAATAAACGAAAACAATGTTAAAATATATATTTTTAAAATGATTCATGATCGTCTGCGTCTTACAAAACTCACAACAGATAATAAAGTAATTACATTTCAATGGGTTGTTCAGGACCGTTTGGTTCTCCGTCATCAAAATCATATGGTTCAATTCCCATTAACATTTTTGCTTCCTTTGTTTTACCTATTTCTGGTAGCTTTGATAGTGTATGAGAGTTTGATGATCGGGAACATTTGAAAATACTTACACCTTTCGACGGCCAGTGTGATGTATTTTCTAAATTCTCATATGCATTGCGCTTCTTAGCTAAATCAGCTGGGGTTGTCCAAGCTGCAGGAGTCATACAAACAAATACAACATGGCGCCACCTGTCTTTATTAGGTCGCCGAAACTCCGGGCGGGAATTATCGTGAATTGTCCTCGAGTCCCATAAGATTATTCCACCTTTAGGACAGGGAACTTTTGTCATTTTGCATCCTTTTTCTTCAGTATACCATTTTCTCTCCTTTTCGCTCAATTTGAAAAATTCACTCTTCTTAGTTCTTTCCAGTACATATGGAAAGGTTCTCATAAAATTGTCATGCTCTTTGTGTGATTTTGCCAATACACGAAAACAGTGATCAGTTTCATGTGTTTCCTCTATATAAACTCCTCCTTGGTATGCATGTAGTCCTACTCTCTGTCCTCCTTGGTCTAAGTGAAGCCAGTTCTGGTCTGGTTTTGCATACAAATTACTTCCTGATAATTTAAATGTACTGTACAGTTTAAATAGAACATAAAAACATGTATAAATCCACAAAATATTTCATCATTTGTTACTTAACTGTAAAGAGTAGCTTAAATGATAAAGGTTGTTTTCAGAGCACCGTTGGATGGACAGTATATACCAAAGGCTTCAAAAATTATTCTTATTTCATTTTATGTAATGAATTTATTATCTGATTCATTGTCCAGTACCAGTTCCACTATATATTATGAATTATTGAAAGATATGTTTAAAGCTACATTTAAGTTCAGATAAGATCTGTTAGGTCAACACGAGTATGAACGTCGGTTGTGGTTTGTGCTATTTGCCGACAAGAATCATTCTCCAGAAACTACAGTAAAGACAATGAACACGAGAGTTTGTTAATTTCATATGGTGTTGTACGGTTATTGCGACAGTAGCTCAACAACACAAAAAAACATATAGATGCTTACATATTGTCTTCAACGAAAGACATGTAACTATCTGTCAAGCTCTAAATCACTTTAAGTGCAGAAAAGCTGTTTCAAAGTATTTTAAATGACTCGAAAATATCCACAAATATACACATATTCATAAAATTATTGAATTATTGAACTAAATTTCTGGACAAGAACACATTACAATTGAGATAAACACACCTTCTTCTGGAGGACAAGACAAAGCCACAGCATCTATACTCGACAACAATTTGTCCGTTTTCCAGATCTGAGCAAATATTTCTTTCACTTTGAGTCGTACTTGCCAGCTTGCATTAAAGTGGCCAATACTATGCCCTTGTATGAGGGATTCAAAACTGGTGAATGGTAAACCATCATTTTCGAGTTGTTTCGCCCAGTCTTTATATTCTTTGCAATACAGATCACACTCTTCTCTACTTAAAACATTTGGTATTACTACATAACCATTTTCCTCAAGTTCCTTAATGGTCCCATCTCTTAAAAAGAAATGCTCTATTACAATATCAAATACATGAACACGTAAAGACAAGCGATATCAACATCTAACTGAATGATAAAGATTGCGGAAGTTGTGTACAGCTATTTTTCTTATCAGTGACCATGGTATGCACAGGACAAAATAAGATTGGTAATCGATTGTGTTAGAACTATTATAATTTAAAGAACAATAAAAGAACAGAGTTCCAATGTCTCCCGCGTTTCACATATTTCATCTATCCAAGGTACAAGGGCAATAACTAAAAGAGCAATTTTTTTTTGTTCTTTAAAACTTTTTAATAATATTTTAAGGGAAATGAAGGCTTCAGAGCAAATGCAATATGATTTCCATTATGATTTATATTTCCAGGGGCATAACTCGTTAAAAATATTTGATCAGAACTTTATTTTCGAAAGTGTCAAAGACATTGCTGATATAAACCTATGATATAAGTTTCATAAAATTATAGCAAGAATTGAACACTTGAGAGCGATAACATTGCAATTTTCCATATAATCAATATTTTCAAGGGCATAACTCTTTAGAAATAATTGATCGGCACTGATTTTTGAACTCTTCAAGTACATTGATGATATAAACCTATAATATAAATTTGATAAAAATCTGGCGAGAATTGTACATATGAGAGCGCTAACCATGCAATTCTCCATATAATTTATTTTTCCAAGGGGCATAACTCTTTTTGAAATAATTGATAAAAATCTGGCGAGAATTGTACATATGAGAGCGCTAACAATGCAATTTTCAATATTATTAATATGTTTCCAAGGGGCATAACTCTTTTAAACAAAAATTGATCGGCACTGATTTTCACACTCGTCCAAGACCTTGCTAATTATAAACCTATGATATAAGTTTCATAAAATTCTGGCAAGAATTGTACTAACGATGCAATTTTTCATAAAATTAATGTGTCAAAGGGGCATAACTATTTTAAATATAATTGATCGGCACTGATTTTCGAAATCGTCCAAGACATTGCTGATATAAACCTATGATATAAGTTTCATAACAATTTGGCAGGAATTGTAGACGTGAGTGCGCAAATAAGACCAGATGGACGGACGCCTGTTATTTCCATGTCCCCCGTAACGCGTTACGCGGTGGACAAAAACACCGTATGTTGTACAAAGCCGTGAATAACGTATTTTTTATGGTGTGGCGTACAAACCCGTACAAGGATATTTCTGTCGCTCGATTAGGACCAGAGAGCCGATTTCTATTCTTTCATAAACTCATTCACATCACATGGTGTCCCAATGAAATTTTGTATTTGTTTAACATAACAATCCGAGATGATATGATAGTTGTCCTTCAGTTAATGCATTCTATGATTCACTGTGTAGTCACATTTCCTTAACCCTACTTTCATTTTTCCGAAGTGTTGAACTATTTTTTATTTGCGTAGGTAAACTGAATCAATATGTGAAATAATGGGGGATCTCGTTTCCTATTCGAGCGACAGAATTATCCTTCTGCTACAAACCCTTGTCTTGACTCTTTTATTGATGATATCGACATAAAATGGAAAGATACTATAGAACATCTACAAGTTTTTCAGACCTTTGTAATAAGTTACATCATTCTATGAAGTTTACAAAAGAATTTTCAAGCGAGAAAATTGTGTTTCTCGACACCATTACATTTGAAAAAATCGGGGTCATGAGAACCCATGAAAATGTTGGCAAAAGAAGGTGCAATTTTTGTTCCCATACTAGTACCGTCCATTCTGTATTTTTTTTTTTAATTCATGACATCACAGTCAAGAACTGGACGTCGATTTGAGAGCAATAAAAAAAAAATCGAATAAAATCGGCCATCGATTTGGAATCTTACTCTTTCATGACGTTAGAATGGAAGTCGATTTGAGGAACAGACGTCGATTAGAGACCGGAAGTGGAACTGAGTCCTACTTGTTTATATATGTTTGCAACTTCACACATATATACAATTATTAAGGGTAAACGTAAATCACGACCAAAACGCAGCACTTTATTATACACCAAATTAGATCTTATCAAGCATGACTATGGTGTATCTTCCTGTACAAATACTTTTTGAACTAATCAAACATGAATAATTGACTAAGTAAAACACAAAAAAAAATTTTCATACCTGTCAAATTGTATCAATGTTCCACTGGTCGCCATTTTATTAAACGCTTGAGATCCAAAATACTTTTAAGTATTGCCTTTTATTTAAAAAAAAAAGTATAATACCTGGGAATAGTATACTGATTCAATATATTATGTCCCAGATAATACGTACACAAATCCATAAATATAACAAGGTGTTCTAAAAATAGTAATTATGGGATCAATTATATGAACGTAATTTAAATGCCAAATAAGGATTATTTAAACTTCACTGATCATATACGGTAAAGTATGGCTATATTTCTTTTTCAGAATATTGTCCTTATTATAAACGTTATGGCTGCCACTAAATCAATCTAGTGCAATATTTGTAAACACCATTAATTTGTCGCATTGTGAAGATCTGAGTTTGTTTATGTGACTGCGTTTTCGACTAAGGTGTACCAATGCTTTGTAGTAACTATACACATCCTTGGGTGTACATAGAAATCGCTTAGCAATAAACAAGCACTATAATTTGAAGAAAAAGATCAGGCTTTCATCGGGCACACTAGTACCATGTATCGTGTATCGTTTCACAAATAGTCTCCAATAAGGGGGAGTGCAGATGACAGCATTTTTGTTCCCTTATATTTTCAAACAGCTGTCAAAAGAAGCAGAGACATATAATACAATTTATGTCTCTGTACAAACATTTGATGTTTCTTGCTATTACAACATTACATTTTTACATTTAGATGATAGAAATTTATTGTGTTTTATATGATTTTCATCGCCAGAACTAGTATATTGGGAATGAGCTTTTATTATTATTTTTTTTTAATAACGAATATTTCTACTGTAACTCGTGTCATTACGTGTCACGTGATACAGGTAGATCAATATAGTATCATAGTGTCGTTTTTTTTCTATCGTTACCGAGAATTGTCAGTCAATATAAATACTCTGGTTATGTATAATACATTGAATATTTTCAAAGAGATTGCAGAAGGACGTCAAATATGCATGAATGAAGTAGTTGTGCAATACCAAAATCGCTGATCCAGGTAATAAAATCGTAGCTATTTAAAGACGTTACACAAGTACTTCTTTATATTCGGAGAGGAAGTGTAGAACAGAACAGACCTTTCTAGCCTGTACCAATATGGACAGGTAAAATTATTAAAGAAATTGTATCTGTTCCATTAAAAACAGTGAATTTATATTTCTTGTTTACTTGTATATTATTTTATACTGACACACACCAATACAAATGTAGGATTTAATGCTTATTTTTAACCAAATATGTGTACAATAAAACTTTGATTTGTCAGCAGTATTTAATTTGTCAGTCTCACAGGTTAACTTTAATGAATGTTAAGTGTTAAATTTAGTTTCATCAATCAATGAAATGATGCAGTTTCTGAATTTTTTCACTCAGTGCGACTACTAATTATTTTACAGTGGTGGATCCACGATTTTTAAAAAAGGGGGAAGTGCGCACCGAAAATTTAGGTGGCTGGTAGTCAAAATCAGAATAATGAACTGAGAAATAGATACAATCGGCCATACGAAGGAGACCCGCTCGCCCCCTTTTTAATCCTTGTTTTCCTCCTTCATTTCATTTTCAAAACAAAATTATGTTTGTTCTCATGTGTATATATATAAGCGTCTATCGAAAACAACCCACCAGCATATCGGACCGTCTAACAACTGACAATTCAACACAAACAAACAAAAATTATAAAAGTCTTAAGATTTATGAATGGTACGCATGAAAGATAGAAATATACGAACAAGATGGTCATATTGACAGAAGGTATTTCAGCAATCCTATTTTTACAATCCTATTTCATGCGTTTTAGAAAAGCTATCCAAAAGCAGCTGACTGAAAATGGGTTCTGTGTAGTTCCAAATGTTGTACCCGAGGAGAATTGTAACGAATATTTACAAACCTTCAAAAAGTGGTATGCAAGCGTCAAAGAAGATGGACAACGGATGCGTACTTGGAAGTCAATTATTAAGACACATAGGATTGGGCACTTTGAAGCAACATGGAAATGTCGCTTACAGAGCAAACCTGTCTTTGAAAAGATATGGGGAACGGAGAAACTATTGACCAGTGTAGATGCCGTAGCACTCACACCTCCTGCTGAGAAAGGTAACTCAGGTTTGATAAGAATCAAAAACCACTTAATCGTACCCATTATGACCCTATCAAGATACATAGGATTTGGGCAGCAAATCTGTCTTTGAAAAGATATGGAAACGGAGAAACTACTGAACAGTGTAGATATCGTAGCACTTTCACATCCTCCACAGTAAGTTAATTCGGGTTTGATAAAAGTAAATCAAAGTACTGAAGTACTGAACATCGGATGACCACAAGTTCTTGAGGATGGTCAAAAGCACTTGTCTCAGAAAAAAACAACATATCTCTTTACCTAAAACTGAGGTTAATGTACAGAGATATATTTTTTTCTGAGACAAGTTCGTGCGTGGATGATGAATAAATGACAGGAAATTCAACTTCACCGTAATAACTATTATATTGTAGTGATACAAATCAGTATACACTGAGTTGTTGTTTATATTATATTAAAATAACAGTTACATATATATATGATTTGAATCCATTTGTATATCATTCTATTCTACTATTCTAAAAATAGCGCAATGCAAGTGCATGGTGGACACTTTTCTGTAAAAATTCGATTTTTCTAAGATTGGACACGAGTAGGCATTCATATTTTCCCGCAAAATCAATTACAGAGTTACCGGTCCTTGACGGTATTTTCACAAAACGTTCTTTGAGATATTCTTCCGCATGCTTTAACACAATTTTTCGGTACGTGTGCATTGATATTATCAATGATTTTTTACTTATATATATATATCTAACTACAAAACATTTTCATATTATTAATTTATGTTGTAAACAAAAATATTTTTATCAGTATTCATTGAAGAGATGTATTTATATCAAACGATAAGGAATGTTATTTTGCACTCGTTTATGTGCGCGTATTTATCATGTTTATAGATCGGTTACAAACCCAAAACTAATTTACATAATGGAAATCTAGGCGATAGCAATACATCGGGATGACCTCAAGGTCATCGCGATGTAAAAATACTTAATCGTATCAATAATGACCTTATTAAGACACATATGATTTAGGCAGTTTAAACAACATGGAAATACCGCGTACATTGAAGACCTGTCTTATAAAAGATATGGGGAACGGAGAAACTACTGACTAGTGTAGATGCCTTATCACTTTTAAAAACATAATCCACAGAAAGGTAATTCATGTTTGATAAAAGTAAAAAGTACCAACAATGACACCCCCTAAGGCAAAACTACTTTGTCGTACCAATAACTACCCCCCTCTTCTGGTGTATTTTTAACAAACTTTACATACAAAACAAAAATGTAACCTTAACTCTTCCTCACTCGAAAAGTATGCAACTATAAATCTGACGTATGCGTGCTTGTATTAACATAAACAAGATAAAAAGTTTTTTTATTTTTTTACAATAGATGGACAGTTCCGAGAACCTGGTGGATGTTGGTTACATCTTGATCAAAGCGTAAAAAGACTTGGAAATCATGCTTATCAAGGAGCTGTTTATGTAGAGGAGACAACGAAGCAAGACTACTGTTTCCGTGTCTTGAAAAACTCTCATGCACATCATTCAGCATTCTTCAAGAAATTTCCCAAAGCTGCTGACAAAACCAGACAATATGAATTTTTCAAACTAAACAAAACTCAGCGCAAATGGTATGAAGACCAAGGATGTCCGTTGACGTATGTTCCTGTTCCGAAAGGTGGCATGGTTCTTTGGGATTCTCGTACAGTACACGATACAGATCCACCGGAAGTCGGACGTCCAAAAGCAGATAAATGGAGATGTGTTGTTTTTGTAAGCATGACGCCTGCCTTTTGGGCCGACGAATCTTGTCATGAATTCAAGCAAGGCGTTTATGAAAAATTGCAACTTACAACACATTGGTCATCTCAGGGACAGAAAGCCTTTGTTAATTATAAACCGAAGAAACGCAAAAGTGATGGTGCATTTATTGATGAACAGTCGATCGAAGAGCTCCCTCCGGTAGCCAAAACAGTGCAAGTGAAATTACTAATGGGCGTTGAAAAGTACAACTTTGATGACGGTAAACCAAATGGACCTCCTGCTCCAACTTGGATACCATAGACTATGGACTTTTTTTGGTGCCATATCAACTTTGATACCATAGACTACGGACTTTGTTTGTGTCATATCAACTTGGGTACCATAGACTATGGACCATTTCTCGTGTCATATCCAGCTGACTGCTGTTTATAAAATTAATACAAATGTATATCATGTTTAAATGCACTTTGTTTAAAACAAGCATAAAATATTTATGTGCTAAAATGCTCCACCTATTTTGTAGAAATACATATGTTCACTTTATCGTTAAACTTGTCTTACTAAATGCAATGAAACAAACAAATTGTTTGGTTACTGAATTTTGAAGTAATCACCTCAAAAACAAGTATTTTCTCTGCTCAAAGTCCATCAAGCAAAAACAAAATAAAGTCTATTGTTACACAAACTATTTCAACGCCCCCCCCCCCTCCCCACCCACCCCCCCCCCCCCCCTTTCCAACCCAAATTGTAAAAGCCATTCCGCAATCTTTCAAATTCATTCCCCATGTACCGCACATAAATTCATTATTTGAAACTTATTAAAAATGATATATAACAACGAGGTAGTATTTTATTGTTAAATGTATAGAATTGTAAATATTATGTGTGAAAATCATTATCTTGGTTCTTTGTATTTTATGTATTGAGTTTGGGATTATTAAAATGCAATCGTTTATCTGCATTGTGTTGGTATCTTTTACATGAGAAAATAAAATGCTCCACTGGACGCAGCTTGATACGACCGCAGAGATCGAACCCTAAACAGTTGGGGTAAGTATGGACACTTCCTTCAAGCTTGATACAGCTCTGAATTTGGATTGTGATTAAATATTTGACACAGCATAGGTTTCTGACAAAAAATGAATGTTGTCAAAGAATTGAAATTGGACTTTTACCTATTATGGTCCAATATCCAAAATCTAAATACACAGTTAGATTCAGCATATTCAAGTACATAAATACACATTTTTAGCTAAGTTTTTAAAGGAGTTCGCTTCATAAATATATATATATTACATTAGTAATTTGGGCTTGTATTATATTTGCCTTCGGGGTTATATAATCCGTTCATCCTATTTCGACTATTCAAAATTCAAGAGTCAATCCTTAATTGAGGTAAATATATGGCCTTCCAAATACCGTTTCGATTCCTAACATCACTGAAGAGACATTAATTGTCGAAATCCGGATATAGTGTACAAATTTTTGCACCTCATGTTTGCGGTATACCATCTTTTCCGCAAGTTTATTGTTTTCTGTTTGGTATTAAATTAATAATTAAGATCCATTTTGTTACATCTGGTGATCCGTTTATTTGGCAATCGCCATGGCAGTCAGCAGGTTTAAAGAACATCCGTTGTTCGACTGCTAGTCAAATCCGTTTTGTTAAAATACACTTTTTTACTTTTTTGGTCTTTTGGAAAATGTTGTTTGTGCTGTATTTAGACCCCTCTACCAAGAAATTTGTTTTGCATGCACACGTATAAAAATTGCGCAATCTTAGGTTTGCACGTTGTTTTCAATTTAGACTTATATATACATATAATGCCTCGGTGGCTGAGTGAGTCCAACTACTGTATCACTAGCCTGTCAACATAGGCCTGAGGTCGTGAGTTCGAACCCCGCACGATGCAGGTGCATTCGACGCTTATCTGTATTGAATAGGATTTTCAGTTTTCCAGGTAAAGGTTAGGTGGTTCTCTCCAGGCACTTCGGCTTCCTCCACTAGTAATAATTGACCGCCACGTAATAACCAATAGTGCTGAAATCAATCAATATAGACAATGTCATCTGTATTTACACTTCGAGGTAACCCTTTTCAAACTTTGTAGGAATAATTATTTGGAGACTATCACTTAACATTAATCACTGAATGATACTACAATTAACATATTGTAAACCCCATTTCAATTTTGTCTGAGGCTAAACATCATCGTCTGAACCAAATATGTAAGGAATAATGTATAGACATAAAAATAAGGTTGCCAATGGTGCATCTGTCCTGTGTGAATCAAGGAGATGTTGTAAGATTGCCAATGGGGCATCTGTCCTGTGTGAACCAAGGAGATGCTGTAAGATTGCCAATGGGCCCATCTGTCCTGTGTGAACCAAGAACAAAGATGTTAACAACTACAGGTAATCACACAGTCTTCGACAACGAGATTAACCAATGCATACCTTATAGTAGGCTTTAAAAGTATCTTAATATAAATTCCTAATTGTTTTCAGTCTAATTAAAACCGTAGTGACATATGCAATTTATACTTTCTGACTGCACAATGTTATGAGTAAAATTTCCATTGCATGCATATGCGTAATTTATCGTGAAATTGGTCATAGCTGTCTTTGTGCATTGATACAGAAGAGCAGCACAGGCGCTGCATGGAACGCCTATTGTTGTTATTAATCGTGATATTTAAAGTAAACTAAATGTTGTACATGTATTCAGACAATAACTAAATTGCCAAAAATAAACTATATTCATCATCATTAATAAGAATTCTTTAGACCCAATAAACGGAAAAAAACGCAGACTAATTAACATCCGGAATGAAAAGGATCTATTCCCTAAAAAAAGTAACGTATGTCATTAATTCACTCTGTAGAAATGGATATGAATAAAAGAGAGCCTGTAGATACCATAGAAATATGAAAACTTCTAGGTCGAAGACAAACTGACAATGTCATGGGAAAAAACAAAAAACGACCAAAAGACGAACAACACGTTTCAATAATTTATGTGGTAAAATCTTCTAGTGTTTGAGAAGAATAATTACATATACAATGTTTGAGCACATCAAGATGTGTATGTATTACACATAACCTTACACTAAGTATTATAATATCCAAAACAGTTCTCATCTGTAGACAAATATTAACCACTGATATAAACGTCTCTGCTATAAACTTTGCATCTTCAATCAGAGTAATGTTCGTCGTTTCCACGAAATCAAATAATTTTTCCGTAATATTACATTGTATATCGATAAATCTCTAAAGATGTTCCATCCACAGTAACACAGCTCGATTAACACATTACGATATACATTTAAAAAAAAACATATACACATGTAACATCAATTTACAGTTTTATTTCAGGATTAGGCGGACCGTTTGGGGTACCGTCTTCAAAATCATATGGCTCTATTCCCATTAACATTTTTGCCTCCTTTGTCTTTGCTATTTCTGGTAGCTCTGTTATTGTAGGCGTCTTCTGTGATGGTGAACAGGGGAATAGTCCTACACCAACGGATGGCCAATGTGACGTCATTAATAAATTCTTATAAGATTCATGCTTCTTAGCTAAGTCCCCTGGCGTTGCCCATGCAGCTGGAGTCATACAAACAAACACGATATGTCGCCACCGGTCTTGATTAGGACGTCCAAACTCTGGTCGAGAATTATCATGTACTGTCCTAGAATCCCACAAGATTATTCCACCTTTAGGCGCAGGAACCTTTGTTAATTTACATCCTCGTTCCTCAATGTACCATTTTGTTTCTTTTTCGTCTAATTTATAAAACTCGATATCCCTAGTTTCAGGAGCTACATGAGGAAATTTTTTCATGAAATTTTCATGTTCTTTATGTGATTTTGCCAATACACGAAAACAGTGGTCAGTTTCACAAGCTTCTTCGAGATAAACAGCTCCTTGAAAAGCGTGTAGGCCTATTCTGTGTCCGCCTTGGTCAATGTGTAGCCAGTCTTGATTTGGTTTTGCATACAACTTGTTTCCTGAAAAATAAAGGTAGTTTTATATTAAGTTTTGAAATACCTCATGGATGTAGAAACACAATGACCGACTAGTCCTGCTTGTCCAAAAATCTCTCGTGCAGGTATATATGTTACAACTTCTTATCCTGGACAAGTAATTTCTGTATAAGCACAACCAGTAAGGACAAGTCAAAAACATTTTTTTTGTAAGTACTTGTCCTTGGACAAGTGAAAAATGTTTATATTTCCACTCCCCTGTACCTAAACAAACTTCCATACTGAACAAGATAAACAATAGACATCAGAACACTCGATCTCACTAAATATATTCTATATGAAGTGACAACAGAAGTCACTCAGCGTTTTTTCAACAACAAAACAAACAAACAAATACAAACATTCAATTCATCAATCAAACCTTCATCTAGTTAAATTTGATTCCACTTTTGGTAACTGCAATATCTTTAATGTAATCAATTTTCAGTAAAAATACACTTTTACTTTTTTATCATTTAAAAGCAAGTAATTTTTATCATAGTACCCTCTAAATGAAAAATAATAACTTAATGCAACCTTTATATTAATCAAAGCTTTAAAGGCAGTTGTATTTTCAATATTTGGTCAAATATGATTCAATATGCTCAATTGGTGTACTAGTGGATTAAAACTTCTATTTATAATAAAATGCTCCGCTGGGTGCAGCTTCATACGACCGCAGAGGTTGAACCCTAAACAGTTGTGGCAGCATGGACACTATATTCAAGACTTGATACAACTCTAAATTTGGATTGTGATTTAATATTTGACACAGCATAGGTTTCTGACACAGAATGAATGTTGTCAAAGAACTGAAAATTTGAAATTTGACTTTTACCTATTATGGTCCAATATCCACAATCAAAATAAAAGGTTAGATTCAGCATATCCAAGTACACCAAGAATTTCATTTATTTATTTATTAATGGACAATAAAAGCTAAGTTTATAAGGGGTTTGCTTCATAAAAGAAAAAATAAATGGGGGATGTGTCCATGGGACACAGATGATGCCCCCGCTTGCATATAACGTTATAAAGGGACATAACTCAAGAACCGTAAAAGTGACGCCATCCAAATTCGTACTTGACCTGGGTTTAGTGTTAATAAGCATTGTGTATAAGTTTCATAACATTTGGTTTAGGCAAACGTAAGTTAGAGAACGGAAACGAAAAATTCAGCATGTTTTCCATTTATAAAGAGCATAACTCTAGAAAGGTAAAAGTGACGCCACCCAAATTCAGACAAGATCTGTGTTTTGTGGTAATAAGCATTGTGTATAAGTTTCATAACATTTGGTTGAGGCAGACTAAAGTAAGAGAACGGAAACCAATTTCGGGAGCGTACGGACGTACAGACGGACATGGGTAAAACTTAATGCCTCCTCCGCGACGGCGGGGGCATAAAAACATATATATATATAGCATTCTGAAAATTCATTTAATACAGAATAATAAACAAACCTTCCACGAAGTTCTTTGAAAAGTTTATAAAAAAAAATGAAAAAACAATTTCCAAAATATCATTCCTCATTAGCACAATGTTTTTAAATAAAATGCTCCGCTGGGGCGCAGCTTAATACGACCGCAGAGGTCGAACCCTGAACAGTTGGGGCAAGTATGGACACAACATTCAAGCTTGATACAGCACTGAATTTGGATTGTAATTAAATATTTGACACAGAATGAATGTGGTCTAAGAACTTAAAAAATTTTAATTTACCTATTCAAACCATATCATTATTATTTGTTTATATATATATATATATATATATATATAAATCAGAAATAACCAATTTAAAATTGAAAATTCTAAAGAAAAAAAATGGAAAAAAAAATCCCCCCCCCAAATTTTTAGAACCCCCTTATGATTCATCACCCCCAAACTCAATCCCAGCCTTCCCTTTGTGGTATGGTACCTTGCAGTACAATTTCAGAGAGATCCATACACTTGAACACAAGTTATTGTCTGGAAACTAGAAAAATGCTTGTTTTTTGGCCCCTTTTTGGCCCCAAATTCCTAAACGATTAGGGCAATTACCCCAAAACTCAAACCCAGCTTTCCCTTTGAAATATGGAACCTTGTAGTACAATTTCATAAAGATCCATACACTTACACACAAGTTATTGTCATGAAACTAGAAAAATGCTTGTTTTTTGCCCCTTTTTGGCCCCTAATTCCTAAAATTTGGAGGCAATTACCCCCAAAATCAATCCCAGCCTTTCCTTTGTGGTATGGTACCTTGCAGTACAATGTCAGAGAGATCCATACACTAACACACAAGTTATTGTCTGGAAACTAGAAAAATGCTTATTTTTGGCCCCTTATTCCAAAACGTTTTGGGCAATTACCCCCAAACTCAATTCCAGCTTTTCCTTTGTGATATGGAACCTTGTAGTACAATTTCAGAGAGATCCATACACTTACACACAAGTTATTGTCATGAAACTAGAAAACTGCTTGTTTTTTGCCCCTTTTTTGCCCCTTATTCCTAAAATTTGGAGTCAATTACCCCCAAAATCAATCCCAGCATTCCCTTTGTGATATGGAACCTTGTGGTACAATGTTAGAGAGATCCATACACTTACACACAAGTTATTGTCATGAAACTAGAAAAATGCTTGTTTTTTGCCCCTTTTTGGCCCCTAATTCCTAAAATTTGGAGGCAATTACCCCCAAAATCAATCCCAGCATTCCCTTTGTGATATGGAACCTTGTGGTACAATGTCAGAGAGATCCATACACTAACACACAAGTTATGTCTGGAAGTTACGAAAATGCTTATTTTTGGCCCCTTTTTGGCCCCTAATGCCTTAACTGTTGGTACCATAACCCCTAAAATCAATCCCCACCTTCCTTTTGTGATATTGAACCTTATGGTAAAATTTCATAGAGATCCATTTACTTAAACTAAAGTTAGAGTGCGAGAACCAATGTGTCTTCGGACGACGACGACGACGACGACGCCAACGTCATACCAATATACGACCGCAAAATTTTTTTGCGGTCGTATAAAAATCTATAAAACTTACCTTTGAGTATTTTTCAAAATATTTGATAATGAACAGTAAATTTCAAATTATATTTATACATAATTTCTAAAATAAGATTTGATGCTGTAACTATTTTTAACTATGACTCTACTTACAATTTCTATTAATTGTGCAGTACAGATCCTAATTTGGATTGTCATTAAATATTTGACATAGCATAGTTTCTGACAAAGAATGACTGTGGTCTAAGAATATAAAATTTTAAATTGGACATTTGCCTATTATCCAAAAATCTAATACATGGTTAGAATCAGCGTATCAAAGAACCCCAAGAATTCAATTTTTGATGAAAACAAACAAAGTTTAATTTTGGACCTCAATGTGGATCAATTCAATAACAGGGCCCAAAATCCAAAATCTAAATACGTGGTTAGATTAAGCATATCAAAGAACCCCAAAATTATTTTTTTCTTAAATCAAAAAAAGTTTAATTTTGAACCTCGATTTGGACCAATTTGAAAACTGGGCCAAAATCCAAAATCTAAATACATGTTTAGATTCAGCACATCAAAGAACCCCTTGAATTCATTTTTTGTTAAAATCAAATTAAGTTTATATTGGACCCTTTGGACCTTAATGTTGACCAATTTGAAAACCGGTCCCAAAATCAAAAATCTAAATACACGGTTGGATTCAGCATATCAAAGAACCCCAAGAATTCATTTTTTTTAATCAAACGAAGTTTAATTTTGGACCCTTTGGAACTTAATGTGAACCAAATTAAAAACAGGCCCTAAAATAAAAATTCGAAATACACGGTTAGATTGGGCATATCAAAGAACCCTAATCATTCAATTTTTGATCAAATCAAACAAAGTTTAATTTTGGACCCTTTGTAACCCAATGTGGACCAATTCAAAAACGAGGCCAAAATAAAAAATCTCCATACACGGTTAGATTCAGCATATAAAAGAACTCGAATAATTCAAGACTTTGATTTAAACTACATAGAAATTGGTCAAGAACTATAAGCAATTTATACAAAGTATTAGAAAAGTATTGTTTTGGTCCCTTTTTCCTAAAAGGTAGGGGCCATAACCCCCAAAATCATTCCCACCCTTCCTTTTTTGGTATGGAACCTTGTGGTACAATTTCATGGAGATCCATAGACTTATACTCAAGTTATTGTCTGGAAACGAGAAAATACTAGTTTTATGGCGCCTTTTTGGTCCGTAATTCCTAAACGGTTTGGCCATAACCCTTAAAATCAATCCCAACCTTTCTTCAGAGGTACAATTTCATAGAGATCCATACACTTATACACAAGTTATTGTTCTGTAACAAGAAAAATGCTTGTTTTTGGCCATTAATTCCTAAACAGTTGGGACAATAACCCAAAAATCAATCCCAACCTTGCTATTGTGGTATGAAACCTTGTGGTACAATTTCATAGAGATCCATACACTTATTCTCAAGTTATTGTCTGGAAATCAAATGTCTTCGGACGACGACGACGCTGACAACGTCATAGCATTATATGAACAAACACAAAAATTTTGCGGTCGTAGAAAATAAGAAGATGTGGTTTGTTGCCAAAATGATGAAACTCTTCACCAGAGACCAAATGAGGTAGAAGTTAACAACTATAGATAACAGTACGGTCTTCAACCATGACAAAGAACATACCACATAGCAAGCTACAAAAGGCCCCGAAAAAACATATCATCACTTTTAAGTAAAATATAATATTATCTTTCATAGCCCAATATATGTGGACTCTTTACACTATAAAATATATTAAGATTAAGTCAAATTGAATCATCCCTCCTAATATAATCGTGAACTTTAAAGTAAATTGGAAGAGAACACAAGACTTATAGATTAAAGGTTATCTTAAATATATTTTGATTCTTTGTCTTTTTTTCTCTGAAAATAAATTTGCAGGTTTTCTTTTGTGATACTCTAATTTCAACCACTAAATGTAAGACTTATAAGCAATTATTAAAGTGTAAGTTTCAACTGAAGAAAGTTGAAGGAAAGGAGTTTGAAAAAAAATATCAGGTTTTTAATCTTTTTTCATTTTACCAGACTATAATGCGTTCATTGTACTAAAAGTTCGTATAATTATACTGAAAGGTATTTCGAAGCGAATATGACTTTATATCAATATATATAATGATAATGGTGATTGATTGATTAATTGATGGTATTTAAAGCCAATTTTAGATCGCTTGGCTATATCGTAGCGGCCATTTTTTATTGGTGGAGGTAGCCGTATTAACTGGAGAGAACCACTGACTTTCGGCTGGAAAAGTAGTGTTCAAAATCCCAACCTGTGTGTTGACAAGCCAGTGATCGCTGAAGATGAGCTTCTTAGACCACTCGGCCACCGAGGCTGATATTAATGATGAAAAATAATATTCAAACGATATGATATTATATGTAGCATCACTGAAGAGATATGTATTGTCGAAGTGCGAGTCTGGTGCAAAATAATGGTAATGTTAATGTTATCAGAACTTATACTTTTGTCACATACCTTCTTCAGGGGGATATGACAAAGCCACAGCATCTATACTTGACAATAACTTTTCTGTCTTCCAAATCTGGGAAAACACTTCCTTCACCTTAAGCCGCGCCCTCCAGCTAGCATTAAAGTGCCCAATACTGTATCCTTGAATGAGTGATTCAAAGCTTGTAAATGGTATACCAGTATCTTCTACCTGCTTAGCCCAATCTTTATATTCTTTTATATACGTGTCACATTCTTGTAAACTTAATACATTTGGTATCACGGCATAACCATTATCCTCTAAACTCTTAATAGCGGCATCTCTAAATAAAAACAATACGTATCAGAAATTGTGAGTTGGTTTATTTAAGAATCGTTCAAGTTATACAATTCAAATTTCATATATTACAAACCTTATTTGGTGTTTATACATTGTTTTATCGCGTGTGTTTCTTAGTATAGTATTTAATTTCTATTTTTAACGTGATGATAAATATAGGTAGTATTTACCTTGTTGTGAAATCATAACATACTGCAATTTTCACGTTTATAAAATATACAAGTAAATTGTCCGCGACAAGACAGCACATAACTTAAATTTCGTGTACTAAAGAGTAGGTTCTGACGTCTTCATACTGTTTCTTTGTTAATAAATTGCGTCTTAATTGTTGGGTTTCTTTTTTTTGATTAACAAAAACCAAAGTACTGGAACTTATAAAATGTTATAGGTAATATCATATCTAAAACACTGGGCTAAAAATACGATAATTTGTTTAAGAGTTATATTTCCTTGTTTATAAATCTACACAATGGGAAATATAACAATATTATCAACAGATATCAAATAGTGTCTGTCCTAAGGTTTGAGAGGATCGGTGACTCTTACAAATAGATCTGTCAAAATATTAACCAGGGAGAAGGAAACCCTTTCGAAAACATTGTTAGTAAAAACTAATATCCGTATCAGCCTGTTTATGGATATTACTTAAATTTCATCGTCTTTATTTATGTTCATTTGAAGTTATTTTATTTAAAAAGATAAAAATAACATACCTGTTAAACTGCATCGGATTTCCTTTTACCTGCATAACCTACGCACAAAAATTATGATTTCACAACAAGGTAAATACTTCCTATATTTATCATCATGTTAAAAATAGAAATTAGATACTTTACTAAGAAAAACACGAGATAAAACAATGTATAAATATGGAACGCCACAGCTGTCTTATGTGGAACTCTGATATTACTTTATGTTGTTTTATTATTACTTGATGATATTTTGTCTTTACTTAATATGGTTTTGACATTACGTAATGATGTTTTGATATAACTCAATATGGAATAATCATTACTTAATGATATTTCGATATTACACGATATGGTTTCGTATTGACTTGATATAGTTTTGTCATTACTCAATATGGTTTTGTCATTACTCGATGTGGTTTCACCATTATTTAATGTGGTTGTGTCATTAATCAATGTGGTTTTAACATTACTTGATGTGAATGTGATTTAACGTTATGTAGTTGTTTCATTACATGATGTGGTTTTGTTATTTCGTAATGATGATTTGCCTATTCTTTATATGGTCTTAACATTACGTAACGATGTTTCAAAATTTGACGATTTTACACTACATGATGTGTTTGTTTCATTATTTGATGTGGTCCTGTCATTCTTTGATGTGGTTATCCCATTACTGGGGGTCTAATCCCGGATCCCGCTTATTGTTTTGTCAGATTCCCGTATCCCGCTTATCATTTTTTAGTTTCCCGTTTACCGCTTATATTTTTTTTCTATAAGAAGTCGCCTTGCAAGAGCCCTCCTATCGGTATATCACACTTGTATTACCATTGGCAAGATATCAGGGAACCGATAAATGGCTTACTGGTGTCACAAATTTAGGAATGATACAAAAAGTTTGCCAGTGACTCGCTCAAGGTGGGTGGTACTCTGAGCGAAAAGACTGTGAGAAGAGAAGCGTAACTACATGTCCAATAAACTGTGGGTAAACATTGCGACAGGGGATCTGGGGCCGCTGAATGCACCCAGCAGGTCTATGGTAGATTTGAGCCGGAGTAGGCTACTCGAAGTTGCTGAAAGCTAGTTGATTGATTGATTAATTGCTAAAAATGGCAAATAGTTCATGATTGTTCAGAACAAAAACAAATTTACAATAAATACAACAGGTAGCTAGGTCCTGATCGTCGAGAATGAAGGTCTGGAATTTTAGAAATGCAATGCATAGAAAATGTGGTTTTCTTGGATAGGAACATAGATTTTGCCTTTCAGTAGACCACCTATACGAACCCCTCAAAGACTTGTTGCAAGTTGCTTAACGTGTAGAGAGCGTGGCATTCTCTCTACACTAGCGGCATCGGATTTAACGTCCCCATTCTGACCAGACGTGACTGCGTAATTATACATTACGCACAACCAAACGAACGCCTAACTTCGACAAGGATTTTATTGTAGGTCGGATAAGGACCAAGTGGAAAGCTAGTTGAAAGTCATCAAAAATTAATAAAAAATAAATCATGTATATAAAAAAGGCAGGGTTTTGGGCATGATGAGGCTAATTCAAGTATTTGTTGATAGAAATGAAATGATCTGAACCAAAGATCTAGTTTTTAGTTTATACAAGGTGGAATATAATGACATTCTATCCAATACTCAATTCACTAAGGATGATAGACTAGTGTACAAATGACATTTGATAATTAAGAGTTTAACCAAGTTCACATGTATCTACAGATAATGTTGTTTTTATTTTTTATATATAAAAGAAATTTGTGAAAAAAAAATGTGTATAGGTACGTGCCTAAAATGCCTAACGGCAGCTACGCCCCTGACTGTCATAAGATTATATTGAGAGAAAAAACGGAATACATCTGATATGATAAACAAACAAAAAATACTTATATCCCCATCACACTAGGACCACGATCCTACTACGATCTCAGAAATTATAAAATTTTGAAAGTCATAGTAAGATCGTGGTAAGGTCGTTATAAGGACATGCCAAGTCTTCATGATCGTGGAGCTTTGAATATGCTCAAAACATTCGTAGTGTAGTCATGGCCAAAACTAGTTGAAGCAGAACCTATGAACTCAGTCGTCGTAAGGACGTAGTTAGATCGGGATGGGCGTAGAAGCATCGTATTGGAAACGTGGTACAATCGGGGTAGCCAATGGACAATATTTCGCTGCAACCTTAGGTAGGCCTATAAGATTTCACTGCGACTATCCCGATTTCACTTTAGTCTCAATTACGCTTCTACAATATTGATTCGATTGTTCTACGGTAAAGAAGACAATAATGCGCTGCTACTTTGCCCTTGTCGTCCTCGTCCATATCACTACGATTCTACTACGTCCTAGCCACGAGAATTGTGTTATATTTCGTAATTTACAAATTGGAAATTTCAAAATTGCATACCTTTTTTGATGCCTCTGCTTTTTATTTAGCACCCCGATCTCTAAGTGTTTTTAATACCTTTAGTGGAAAGTTATCTCCAAGAAACTGATGTGTACAATGGGAAAGTCAAGATATTTATAGGGACGAAGAGCGTAGTGACAACGAAGTGGAGTCGTTTTTCGATCGTAGTAGACACGTATTGAAATCGTAATGCGATCGGGAAGGTTTTTGAAGAAGCATTCAGAGATCGTGTAAGTCGTGGTAAGGTCTTATTAGACGCAGCAAGAGCGTGACAAGATAGTAACTATATATATATATATAGAACGTGTTACTGTCGTAGCGAAATCGTAGCAGGATCTTATCAGGATCATAGCAAGATCGCAGTATCAACGTGAAAGCTATGAAATAAATTAATGAATATTCAAGCCAACCATACCACGATCTCACTGCAATCTTAAAATTGAGAATGGAAATGGGGAATGTGTCAAAGGGACAACAACCCGACCATAGAACAGACAACAGCAGAAGGTCGCAAACAGGTCTTCAATGCAGCGAGAAATTCCCGCACCCGGAGGCGTCCTTCAGCTGGCCCCTAAACAAATATATATACTAGTTCAGTGATAATGAACGCCATACTAAACTCCAAATTGTACACAAGAAACTAAAATTAAAAATAATACAAGACTAACAAAGGCTAGAGGCTCCTGACTTGGGACAGGCGCAAAAATGCGGCGGGGTTAAACATGCTTATGAGATCTCAACCCTCCCCCTATACCTCTAGCCAATGTAGAAAAGTAAACGCATAACAATACGCACATTAAAATTCAGTTCAAGAGAAGTCCGAGTCTGATGTCAGAAGATGTAACCAAAGAAAATAAACAAAATGACAATAATACATAAATAACAACAGACTACTAGCAGTTAACTGACATGCCAGCTCCAGACTTCAATTAAACTGATTGAAAGATTATGTCTTCATCATATGAATATCAGGCACAATCCTTCCCGTTAGGGGTTTAGTATCATACCATCATAACATATATGAGAAGAACATAACCCGTGTCATGCCAACAACTGGTTTTTAAATAAATGTGTTTAGTGCCGATGCAAAGACCCTATAAGTGAATCAATATTAACGCCAAAATATGCAATCTTTAATGACCTGACAACAGTATCGTAACTATATCCCTTCTTAATAAGTCTATTTAAAGGTTTTGTTAGCTTCAGAGGTGAATACTGACATTTTTGTGCTTTATAAAGAATATTTCCATAAAAAATTGGATGTGAAATACCTGAACGTATAAGAAGTCTGCATGTTGAGCTATATTTAAGAATGATGTCCTTATACCGATGATAAAATTTAGTAAATGTTTTGACTAGTTTGTGATATCGAAAACCCTGGTGTAATAATTTTTCAGTAATACATAAATTTCTCTCGTTAAAATCTAAAACATTGTTACATACACGAGCGAATCGTACAAGTTGAGATATATAAACACCGTAAGATGGTGACAAGGGAACGTCACCATCTAAAAATGGATAATTAACGATAGGAAATGAAAAATCATCTCTTTTATCATATATTTTAGTATTAAGCTTTCCATTAATGATATAGATATCAAGATCGAGGAAAGGGCAGTGGTCATTGTTAGTATTAGCTTTATTTAAAGTAAGTTCAACAGGATAAATTTCTTTAGTATACATACTGAAGTCGTCATTATTGAGAGCCAAAATATCATCCAAATATCTAAAAGTATTATTAAATTTGTGTATCAGATGTTGTTTCGATGGGTCTTTGCTGATTTTTGTCATAAATTGTAACTCATAGCAATACAAAAAAAGGTCCGCAATAAGTGGTGCACAGTTAGTCCCCATTGGAATTCCGATAACCTGACGATATACGGAATCTCCAAAGCGAACAAAAATGTTATCTAGTAAAAATTCAAGGGCATATATAGTATCAAAGCATGTCCAATTGACATAGTTTTTTGTTTATTGCTACTAAAAAATGACCTAAAAGAGTTTGAACATATATATTCACATTCTGACTTTTTAAATGCCCATTTAATTAGGTGTGTGAATTTTTTCTTAATGAGAATGTGAGGCAATGTGGTATATAGGGTAGAAAAATCAAAACTTTGAACAGATTCAAAATCACCAATATATGCATGTAATTTATCAAGTACTTCCAACGAGTTCTTGACACTCCAAAAGTAATTAATTCCACTGTTTTCGAAGGCCTTTTTTGAACAATTTATTATCAGGTTTTTGATTGTACCAAGTGTACTGGTAAGAAGAATAGACAATTTAGTAGTGGAACAATGGCTTGAAGACGAAATAAATCTATATTTGTAAGGTGTTTTGTGTAGCTTCGGAAGCCAATACATAGTTGGGACTTTCATTGTATTTGGTTCTGCTTGTAAAGCGGTAGCTAAAAGTTTATGTTTGTTACAGATGTCGTTATCTATTTTAGTTAGTAAATCACTCAAGTATGAGGTCAACTCCTTATTCATGGTCTTGGTCTAGTGTGATGGGGGCTTTACATCCACTTCTTTTGAACTTTGGTGGACATCTGTCTCATTGACAGTC